GGCTCCCCCTGGCTGGCCGCAGCCTGTGGACGCTCTGCACTACCTGAACCCTTACTGTTTTTTAGTAGGAGTGACCAAATGTTTGTAGGGAGCCCGAAATCCCATGTGCTGCTGGGTGGGCAGGGGCTGGTGGGGGGCGGCTCACCCCAGGGCAGCAGCTGCTGCCCGCTCGGGCACTTCTTGTCTTTCCTGGCCCCCAGCACTGTAAGTTAACACCCCACAGGCGGGTCCAAAGAGGATTTCAACGAAACCTGAAGCTTGGGAGTAGAGATTATGCTGCAGAAATGGCCTGGGAGAGCGTAAAATATGCACTCCCACAGTGGCCAAAGAAGGAACTGGATTTGCTCCCTGGGGAGCAGGGTCATCCTTGGTCTCAGTAACAGCGTCTGAGTGGGGAGATGAATGCCATGAAGATAGGGCACCTGCTCCTGTCTCAGCCCAGCCCTGCTGAGCCTTGCTGGGACCCTGGGAGTGCTTGCTCTCCCAAAATTTGGTGCCTCACGGTAGGTCACTGCTTAATGAAAACCACGTTAAGGACAGATGCCTGGGAAAATGACCCTGGCACAGCTGGCCCTCCACTTGCATGAAGTAGCACTTAGGAGAGTAAATGAGTGGGGTGGCCTTTCCAAGGCTGTTCACACTCTCCTAATTTCAGTCTCTTGACATCCTAGTGAGAACACCAGAATGGAACTCTCCAGGTCACTCTGCTGTAGACTGCAGAAGTGCAGCCCTGGAAGGGGCTTGGAGTGGAGCAATGTGCTTGTCCCAGTCTTTCAAGGTGTCGGTGCCAAGGTCCCGGTGGCTCTTAGTAGGGTCTCATTCCCGGGGTGCAGCCCTGCCACAGTTAGCAGGATCCCCTCTGTGCCTCTCCCCATCATACGACACCGTGAGCTGGGTCTGGAGGAGTGTGGTAGGGTGGCAGATTTGGGGGCAGAGCTGGAGGAACCCCGCACAGAGTTGCTCCTCTCCTCTACTCCCTTTTTCACCCATGTCTTGCTTCGTGCGGTGTGGCACAAGCCTTGGTCTTGGGACCACGGACAAGCTGTATGTCAGGGCCAACGAGATGCAGCTGCCTGTACAGGGGCGGACTGTGCTACAGCCAGACACCCATCGCGGGGGTCTAGAGCCGGTCCTGGCAGCCTGTGAGTGACAAACTGCAGAACCAGCTGAAAGGGACTGTCACCGAGCCAAGGAGAGCTGTGTCACCGCAGCTTGCGTATCTGATGGGGTGGCTGCACCCTTGGCACAGCCCAACCTCTCACTCCCTGCTCCAGATACAAATCCAGACCCTGTCCATTAAATGCCTTTGGGTTTGCACCAGTGTCCCCTAGTGCCCCAGCCCCTTTCCAGTGAGCTGTCACCTACCAGCAGTGGCTCTGCCCTCTGCTACCTGCTGCTTTTGCATGGGATGAGCATGAGTGGAGCTGGGGCTCCACTCTTTGAGGAGAGGTGGGTACGTCTGCTCTAGGGCAGCACTACCCCACAGCCCACCTTCCTTTGCTGGCTCCCCCAGGAGCGAGCTGCTTTTTCACCCCATCCCTCTTCTCTCCTGCAGGCACGTACCAGGGCCAGTTCACCAACGGCATGCGGCACGGCTACGGCGTGCGGCAGAGCGTGCCTTACGGCATGGCCTCCGTGGTCCGCTCCCCGCTGCGCACCTCCCTCTCCTCCCTGCGGAGTGAGCACAGCAACGGCACCCTGCCCCAGCAGGACTCCCCCGCCGCCAACCCTGAGAACCTGCCCCTCTCGCCCACCATCACCCGGGGGGGCTTTGCCCTCAGCCTCTACGCAGAGGCAGAGGCTGGGAAGCCCAAGAAGGGGGGGCGGTTCCGCAGGGGTTCCTTGCTGGGGAAGCTGAAGAAGTCCGAGTCCAAGTCATCCTTGGCCAGCCAGAAGAGCCGTGTCAGCTTCCTCAAGAGCGAGAGCGGGATCAGCTCAGCCGCCAGCGATGCCACCTCCACAGTCAGCCTGGGCGAGGGCGCCGAGGGCGAGGAGTACCCCCCCTTTGAGTCCGACATTGATGCCACCACCACGGAGACCTACATGGGCGAGTGGAAGAACGACAAGCGCGCTGGCTTCGGTGTCAGCGAGCGCTCCAGCGGGCTGAAGTATGAGGGCGAGTGGCTGGAC